TAGCGAATACCACAGTAGAAGGGGGTTTGTATACATCTTCCTTAAACTTTGGTATAAGAGAAATATATAAAATGATTTCCGTGAATGTTCTAAAGAGTGTCACGTGGAATTGTATTTTCCGTGTCTTTAAATCCTTTAAAATACAGTTAAGTAGCGTCATTATGTATATTAGTTCTGAGAAGTAGACTGCTCACATCACGTAGGGCTTGATGCTCCGAATAAATTTTATAATGTATTTATTTAGGGTTAAAAGTACTTTAGATGGAAACACGGGATTTCCGCCTCTTTCAGTTATAAAGATACACTGAATGTATATGTTGTGTTTCTTGGTTCGTTTTACGTTTACGTCATTTGGCAGATTTTACATGTAACAATCTAAAACAACCGAATAAGTAGTGAAAACCCCGAAACTTGAAAGAAAATTAAAAAAGTAATGAAATATACCGAATTATTTAGCTGTTCCAAATGCCAATAATCTCTCTTTTTGCCAGATGTTTGTTTGTTTGTAATTAAGCACAAAGCTACACAATGGGCTATCTGTGCTCTGCCTACCACGGGTATCGAAACCCGGATTCTAGCGTTGTAAGACATACCGCTATGCCACTGGGGGTTTTGCCAGATAAGTGATACAGAAAAAAGCGTTCAAAATCTACTGCGTATGAATTGTAAAAATTTATAAATCGTCAGAGGGTAAACATATACGTGAACTGTTAGGTTACAACTATGTCTTAAATAACATTTATATTTACTATTTTTCAGGTGCGTTGATGGAGCTGAACATTATAACCAAGGATTCATCGAAAGGATTTGATGGTCAAAGCATTCAAATTTAAAGATTTATGTTTAAAAATGTTTCAGTTGACCGAGCCAACAGTATAATCAAAAGGATTTAATGGTTAAAGCATTCATATTTAAAGATTTATATTTAGAAGATGTTTCAGTCTTTGTAGTACGTTTCGCTCTCTACTAGAAATCGAACGATTACAGGTTACATAAAGGAGCAGATTTGATTTGAAAAAAAAACAAACTAAGCAACAATTTAATTAGGCGTAATTTTGTTTTGAAATACTTAAGTCCACTGACGCTGACTAAACATCATGAACGAAAGTGTGGATATATTCACCACTATATTTACAATCTTGGAGGATGCATATGAAATAAATATCACAAATGAAACGGATATGGGTTCGTATTTACCCAATTCATCAGAAATCCCAACTCTACTGAACATCACCCGAGACGTTCCGTTCAAGTACGCAATGCCTTTGTTTGGCTACATTATGCCATTCTTACTATTAGTGACTATAGTGGCCAACACTTTAATTGTAGTGGTCCTGGCGCAACGACATATGCGCACTCCAACTAACCTAGTCCTTCTGGCCATGGCCATTTCTGACCTGTTAACTCTGTTGTTTCCGGCACCTTGGTATTTCTATATGTACACCCTGGGTAACTACAACAAGGTACTGTTTCCCATCCCTGCCTGCTATTCCTACCACTACATGTATGAAGTGGTCCCTGCATTTTTCCACACCGCTTCCATCTGGCTCACTCTGGTCCTTGCTGTTCAACGCTACATCTACGTGTGTCACCCGACAGTTGCCACTACCTGGTGCACTGTCCCACGTGTTGTAAAGGCTATGGTGTCGGTGTACCTCTTAGCGTTCTTCCACCAGTCCACCAGGATCTTCGACCGTGTATTTCACCCGATAACCTTCAGGTGGAACAGTGGAGTTCACACAGGTTGCATGTTTCAGACAGCAAGTTGGGTGAGAAACGTCATCAATGAAAACGTCTACTTTACCTACTACTACGTCTTTCGCATACTATTTGTTCACATAGGCCCTTGCACGGCTTTAGTCGTGTTGAATGTGCTGCTTTTTCAAGCTCTCAAAGAAGCCCAGCGGAAGCGAGACAAACTTTTCAAGGAAAACCGCAAGAGCGAGTGCAAGAAGCTGAGAGACAGTAACTGTACCACTCTTATGTTGATCGTTGTGGTGACAGTATTCCTTGCTGTGGAGATCCCTCTGGCGGTGACAACTCTGCTCCACGTCATGCAGAATGCTCTCGAACTCCAGATCGCCGACTATAATGATTTGAACGCCACCATTCTGTTTACCAACTTCTTTATTATGCTCAGTTACCCTTTCAACTTCGCCATCTACTGCGGTATGAGTCGACAGTTCAGAGAGACATTCAAAGATTTGTTCATGATGGGTAATCTCGTCAGCAGGCGAGAAGGCTCTTCCAGATATAGCCTCGTTAATGGACCACGTACTTCGGCACATGAGACTGTTCTGTAGAGGGAATTTCAGATTTGCTATGATAAAGAAGGGGAAGGAAAAATAATTTGTTTAAAGTTGAATGATGACACAAAACAGTTGCTGGATTTGTACGGATTCTCTCCTGAACAAAGGATAAATAACAACAGACTCCCAGAATGAGAGCTTACAAGCATCTGCCAACTTGGACTGTCAAATTCATGTTGGGAAACATATTTTAAGGCATTGCTTCGTGAACCTAGATTATCTATATTCCAGAATATTCCCTGTTCCCATGGCGCTATGTGATATGCTTACACTAATATTTCGGGGCTCATTAGTGTAAGCTTTCATAACCGCGAGGGAATAGCTTCCCTAAATCTTTAGGTAGTTGCTTTTGGTGCCATTAATCTTTACGCTTTTAGTGGACTGTTGCTTCATTGTTGTTTAAAGAAGAACCAAAGTAAAGTACATGTTTTTTTGTTAAATGTCACATTCGTTATTCCAAATACCAATGTATAAGACTTGTTCAATAAAATGTGATTGCTCATGTGACGATTGACTTTTGTCAACAAATATACATTTTTAAAACTGCAGCAGAACGTATAATACTAACAAACACTACTGTTCTGTAAAAGCTAATACTACTGTCCTCTAACAGAATAGAATAACGTATACTATTGCACATTCCTAAAGCTGTCAGTATTTTTTGTTTTTGTTTTCTGTAGTTCGGCCTTGAACACATATCAAACAGTAAACAATATAAAAGAAAACTTGATCCCTCTATTTACTTTACAGTTTAACATCATTGAAACATGAGAAATTTTCTCAACATTTATATTACATCTTTTATGCATTGTGAATTATTTTTAGTTTCTTCTCTCTTACTTTTTTTAATGTTGTGGTGTTTCTACAGTAGTTTATTTATCTTTTAATACATTTAACGTTTTCCCCCAATAATTGCGTTGTTTAACCAGATCACACTAATATATTGATAGTTCTAAACTACTAAATGTTTATGGTGTGTAAATATGAATAATTCGTTTAGCTATAAAGTTTCCATTTTCTGATGTATTATATGAAATTTCTAGCTTTGATTATTTTATTTTATATAAGTTTTGTTGGTTATTTTGCCAAATAAATTATTATTTATTTGTATTACTGTATAAGCTAAACTAAAAATAGATTTATAACAGTTTATCGATTAAACAAGCTATGCTTCTGAAATGACTGATTTTTCTTAAAATCTCTTTTTGTTTCTACTACTAGCGTCAAAACTAGAATAGCTGCTTGTTACATCTTGTTTGATTGAATACACATATATGTATAATTGAAAGATTCTTTCTTGTTGGGTTTACTCTTTACTTATTAATAGTCCTGCTTAGTCTTCTGCTTGTTACATCTTTTGTGATTATATAATTAAAACTGCTACTTGTACAACAAACACAGGCGTTGTTTACTTTTAATGGACAAATTTCTTTACTTGCCAAATTTATTAATGAAAGTGCAACACTACATCTCTTAACTGTGTTCCTTTCAAACATTATTCAGTGATGACTTGGCGGAAAAGGTTAATCTGTACAATATATTGGCAAGATACAGAAGTCTTACGACTGGAAACTTAATGAAAAGGTAGAGCTAACCAAATTGAATTTTCTGCTAGCGTTCATTACTGTTTCCTGGAATATTAACAGGATTGTTTAATTTCCTTGAATGGAGCTTGTTCTTCCGCTCTGTTTAAATTTTTTGGTTATTGTCGATTTATACCGATAACAAACTGTTATAGTGGTGCACGGAAAGCTCCTGGTTCAAGAGTAGTATTAGGATAATGTTTTCTGGTGAAGATCGTTTTATAAATATTTCATTGGAATTAGAATTTTTAAATCGGAAGCTTGTTTGTTATTGCATCTGCGAAGGTTGGGGTTTATAGGACAAATCAAACTAAAACGTTATCCATAAATTTCATATAGCATTTGCAGAAGTTAAAAACTAAATATCTAATTTTAACATTAAGAAGGATTTCTCGTGGTTTCAAACCTTTTTGCGGCAGAGAGCGACCTCTGTCTGCAGTTATTCAGGATACTAAAATTAAATCTACTGTAGAATGATTGAATACTCATTTTAAACATGTCTAGTGTTATTCGGATAAGATGTATTAAGTTGATCTTTACGACATTGTAGAAGACGGTGACATAAATCCATAATTTGGAATGTATTTCTGCCAATATAATTTGGTGATTGCTAATTAACACATGTATTAAAAAACTTCAGATTATATTCTGCAGTTTCTCAAAATCCTTACGATGACTTGTATAAAATCTGTAGGATGACTATTACAAAATCCTGACGATGACTTGTATAAAATCTGTAGGATCACTATCACAAAATCCTTACGATGACGTGTATAAATTCTGGAGGATGACTATCACAAAATCCTTACGATGACGTGTATAAAATCTGTAGGATGACGATCACAAAATCCTTACGATGACTTGTATAAAATCTGTAGGATGACTATCACAAAATCCTTACGATGACTTGTATAAATTCTGTAGGATGACTTACACAAAATCTTTACCTTGACTTGTATAAATGCTGTAGGATGACAATCACAAAATCCTTAGGATGACATGTATAAATGCTGTAGGATGACTTAAACAAAGTATTTACGATGACTTGTATAAATGCTGTAGGATGACTTAAACAAAGTCTTTACGATGACTTGTATAAATGCTGTAGGATGACTTAAACAAAGTCTTTACGATGACTTGTATAAATGCTGTCGGATGACTTAAACAAAGTCTTTACGATGACATGGGTTAATTTTGTTAATAACTTGTACAGATGCTGTAGAAAAGATTAATTAGAAATTCCATTTTTATGCTTTTTTATATAAAATATTCTTGTATGACTGTTAATGTCACGAGCAATTTCTGTAAAAGTTTCAACCAAACTCAAGTCATTTTACAATTGACTTTGTGTATTATTAATTCCTAAAAGTTTACTTGCCGTACTTTTCCTTAATGTTATACTCCTCAACCGACTTATTCTGTAAAAAAAACAACTTGAAATTTATATATTTGTATGTGACTAAACGATAAGTTTAAACATGAAACTTTTAATTTTATATGGAAATGTGAGTGGCCTTATAAGGACATGTATGTCAAACCCATGCTGTCATCCCTGAAGCTAATAATGCGTAAGTCTATGTTCTACACACGTATTCACATTGCAGGAAATATTTTATAAAAATGATATTTTTCACTTTTCATATCATACGATGATGTATGCATCTTGCAGGTATTTAACAAAATATTTCTAAATATATTCAAACCACTTCTTCATCTAATGGTTCAAATGTCTTTGTCACAAGAATGCCACATGTTAAGGGCAGAAAACGATCAGCAGTCAAACTAAAGTTCGACTTATAAAAAATTAATGATCATGGAAAAGCTATATACATAATAAAAGATTATAAAGAAAATCATATTTTTATATTAATGAGGACTAGGATTTTCAGGTATAGAAACAAATGAATATCATCATCATATGTAGTCATTAAAACAAGTCAGTAGTATCATCATCTGTTGGGACGAGTCTTTATCACCATATGTAGGCATAGCAACAAGTCGTTATTTCAGAAGTTTCTCTTTTAATCAGGTTTCTTTTTTCCCTTCATATATTTCTCTTATCTTTGTATTAAGAACTATTGTACTGTAAATAAACTAACCAGTGTCTTCAAGTTATAGAGATATTCCTGAAATTTAATAATTCAACTACTGTTATTTGTATTATTGGTAAGGCTTACTAGAATGTCAGCTTTAGTAGTTAAATGCGTTGAATATAAAATCTTCGTCTTCACTAATGAGTTATTTTCGTTAGACGCAAACATAAGAATAGCTATAGCAGTACATAAAAACATAAACTTGTTCCCTGTTTGTTGGAGATTTATAGAAAGACGCCTGAATTGTAAGCTAAAGGTTTTCTATCTAGCAAATGTTTTATCATTAATAATTAATTTTATTTTTCATACCTTCTGGAATTACGAATGTATTCCCCGTGTTCAGAACTTGATACTGACGTTTCTTTTATATTTTTTATACGAAGTTACGGAAAATTGAATGTCACCCTAGAGATCGTAAAAAAATCTTTTTCAGGGCCACGTGAAAAATGTCAATTTCTACTAGCTTCCATACGTCGTTACACCATGCTCGTTGGGCAACACTCCATGTTTCAGCTTCTGTTGATGACGACAGGTTGGATTAACGCCGACCAACATGGTTACGTTTTGACAAATTATCGTGCACGAAAACATTACCTACTGTTCTCGCTCAGGAGAACTTGATAAAACATTACCTACTGTTCTAGCTCAGGAGAACTTGATAAAACATTATCTACTGTTCTAGCTCAGGATAACTTAATAAAACTTTGCCATCAGTTCTAGCTCAGGAGAACTTGATAAAACTGTGTATGTGCTTTTATGTGATCTTAGAAAATAGACACAGTGTATCAGTACAGTGTACTTAGATAAAATGTGACAATGTACCAGTTGAATAAGGTTTCTTGAAAAACAGAAATGTCTCAGTTTGATGAACATATTTAAAATATCACAATGTACGTACCAATGGTCTGGACTTGGTAAATTAAAGACTAATTATATATTTTTTTCAGGTAAGCTAAGGTTAAGTTGTGTATTATCGTGCGTAATTGCAATACAATAATTTATCAAAAAAATTCTCCTGAGCGAGAACAGTAGGTAATGTTTTATTAAGTTCTCCTGAGCGAGAACAGTAGGTAATGTTTTATCAAGTTCTCCTGAGCTAGAACAGTAGGCAATGTTTTATCAAGTTCTCCTGAGCTAGAACAGTAGGTAAATCAAGTTATCCTGAGCGAGAACAGTAGGTAATGTTTTATCAAGTTATCCTGAGCTAGAACAGTAGGTAATGTTTTATCAAGTTCTCCTGAGCAAAAACAATAGGTAATGTTTTATCAAGTTCTCCTGAGCGAGAACAGTAGGTAATGTTTTATTAAGATCTCCAGAGCGAGAACAGTAGGTAATGTTTTATCAAGTTCTCCTGAGCAAGAACAATAGGTAATGTTTTATCAAGTTCTCCTGAGCGAGAATAG